CTGCCTTCGGCTCAGGTCATGGTCCCAGGGTCCTGAGATCGAGCCCCACATCGGGCTCCCTGCTCCGCGGGAAGCCTGCTTCTCCCTCTCCCACTCCCCCTGCTTGTGTTCCCTCTCTGGCTGTGTCTCTCTCTGTCAAATAAATAAATAAAACTTTTCTTAAAAAACATTTTACTTTAGAATAAATTTAGATTAACAGAAAAGTTGCAGATATAATACAGAGACTTCCTGGATGCTCTTCCCTCACCCTCCCCTAATGTCAGTACCTTAGATTTCTATGGTACATCTGTCACAACCAAGAAGCCAGCACTGGTACGTGACTATTAACTCAACTCCAGGCTTTATTTGGAGTTCATTTTTTTTAACTGACATTTTCTTTGTTTCAGCAACCAATTCAAGGGACCACATTGCATTTAGTCTCCTTAGTCTCCTGTGGTCTGACAATTTCTGTCTTTCCTTCTTTTTCATGACCTTGACAGTTTTGGGGTGTACTAGTCACTTTTGTAGAATGTCCTTCAACTGAGGTTTTTCTGATGTTCTCTTGTGATTAGCCTGGAGTTCTGGGTTTGGGGAGGAGACCTCAGAGGTAATGTGGTCTTCTCTCTCTCTCTTAAGAGTTTATTTATTCCTTTGAGAGAGAGAGAGAGCACAAGCAAGGGGAGAGGCGGAGGGAGAGCGACAAGCAGGCTTTCCGCTGAGCTGGGAGCCCGATGCGGGGCTCGATCCCAGGACCTGGGGTCATGACCTGAGAGGAAGACAGACGCCCGACATCCTGAGCCCCCCAGGCGCCCCTGATGTGGTCTCATTGCATCACAGCAGAGAGACATGATGTCAGTAGGACTTATCACTGGTGATGCTGACCGTGATTACTTGCTTAGGGCGGTGTCTGCCAGGTTCTTCTACTGTAAAGTTACTATTTATCCTTTTTCATACTCAACTGTTTGGATGCAAGTCCCTAGATCCAGCCCACACTCAAGACTTCCCCCATATTTTAATAGAAGTGTCTATTGAAGATATTCTGTCCCTGTCTCATTAATGTATATTGTGTCTGTAGGGAAAAAGAACTTGTTTATTTTTTTAAAAGATTTTATTTATTTATTTGACAGAGAGAGACAGAGCGAGAGAGGGAACACAAGCAGGGGGAGTGGGAGAGGGAGAAGCAGGCTTCCCGTGGAGCAGGGAGCGCGATGCAGGGCTCGATCCCAGGACCCCGGGATCGTGACTTGAGCCGAAGGCAGATCCTTAGTGACTGAGCCACCCAGGTACCCCAAGAACTTGTTTTTTTTTTTTTTTTAGTTCATGGGTCTCTGCACTGAGGACCCACACAGCTGGGTTGCACCCAAGGAAGGATACCTGAGCAACCTCATTTGCACCTGGATCTGACTTAGATGCAAGATCCTGGACTTGAGGTCTGAGCTGGGTGCTGTGATGGGATATTGGCAGCCTTGGGAGAGGCCAGAGGGTGGACTGTGGTGAACTTGCCTACATTCATGACCCCCTATAAAACTCTTGGTTTTCATGTACTTGGTAGACCCTTTCCACACTGACTCTGGGCTTGGACATGTGACTTGCTTGGCCACTGGGACATTAGCATGAATGATGCATACAGAGCCTTAATGGGAATGCGGCCCACTAGGGCTAGTCTTCTTGGAAACCAGTAGCAAAATAGTCTCCTGAAAGATGAGACACCACTTGAAAAGAGGCCCCGGAGGATAGGCGTTAACTTGGACATCTGGCCCCAGCTGAGCTCCCAGCTATACAGCCACATGAGCAACACCAGCTACATGTGTGGACAGGAACCACCCAGCTGAGCCCAGCCAGCCCACAAAACAATGAGTAAGTATTTGCTGTTTTACGCCCTTAAGTTTAGGGTGGTTGGTTATATATCAATAGAGAACTGAAGCTCCTTGTTCTTTGCCCCTCAACTCCTGTCCTCACACTCTGCCTTCCCAGCTCAAGTCGCATAGTCCAAAATTATAATCATTTCCCCGAACCCCACACTCTTATAATATTGTCCTTACTAATTCCCAGCCCTTGCTAGACCAAACTGTCTTCCTACTCCATACCTGCATCCGAGCAGCAAAACTTTGCTAGAGAAAAACATAAAACCACACTCACTCGTTCTTTAAATTTACAACACACGGGGCATCTGGGTGGCTCAGTCGGTTAAGTGTCTGTCTGCCTTTGGCTTGGGTCATGATCTCAGGGTCCTGGGATTGAGCCCTGAGTTGGGCTTTAAATTTTTTTTTTAATTTTAAAAAATTTACAACACACATCTAAAAGTGGGCTCTCTATGCAGCCAGAAAATCTTACTATACTTTCTTTATCCAGTTTGTCTTCCATTCTCTGGGAAGACTATTTCACACCTTGCCTTTTCTTTTTCTTTGAAGCTTCCGAAACTCCACACACCCCACCACCCCTTGAAGCTAACAATCTTTTTTTTTTTTTTTTAATTAGAATCAGGGGCTTGGCTACAAGCATTAGAAAACTCCAGATAACAATAGTGTAAACCATAGAAGTTTTTCTCTTCTGCAAAGAGTTGAAAAGCCATCCAGAGTTGGCAGGGCAGCTGCAGTCTTCAAGCTCTACAATTCTATCTTGTTGTTGTGCCCTCCTCAACTCATTCATTCTGCCTCATGGTCCAAGATGGGTGCTTGAGCTCTAGTCATTGTGGGTGCGTGCTAGGCCAGAGGGGAAAAAAGGAACTGCCAAAGATAGGCAAACCCCTCCCTTTCAGGACATGTTTGGAAATTATACATACTGATTCTTATATCACATTGGCCAGGAATTAGTGTCAAGACCACATATATCTATCTGTAATGGAGGCTGGGCAATGCAGTCTTTATTCTGTGGGACCATATACCTAGTTAAACATGGGGGGCGGTTCTTTTTAAGGAACAAGTGGAGGATGGGCAAAGAGATCCTGCTTGCAGTCACAATGTGTTTCCAGTGCTCTCCTCTTCTGCCCAGCCAAAAATTTGTTCCTGCATCACACCCTTTACACTTCCCATCCCCTTGCGCAGGTGCTCTTCTCCAGAGCGCCCCATGGCCCCCAGCTCCTTATCAGCTCAAATGCTGCATCCTTAGAAAGGTCTTCCCTGATCCCCTAGCTAGGGGGATCCCAACCCCCTTCCCCGCCACTTTGGCAGTATACAAGTTAGGTCTTCAGTGTTTGTCCCTCTTAAGGTTGTCAGCTCCAGGAGGGCAGGAGCTTTGCCTTCCCAGATGAAACTGAGTCCCCAGCCTGAAGCACTGACAGATCTGAACATCCAGAGCCCGAGGGACTGGCATGTCTTTCTAACCCATTCAAAGCTGACAGCAGCCCGGGTCTAGCTCAGGCAAAAGCCACTTACCCAGCTTCCCTAGCCCCATGGCCTACACCTCCCACTCCTCGCCTTCCACCGTAACATTGTTCCTCAACCTGTCCCAAGCCCATCACTGCCCTGTTCACCCTCTCCAGCCCATGCCCTGGTAAAAGCAGGGCACTGTCAGTCTTGGGATAACTTGGACCTTATCTTCTGAGGGCAAGAAGACCCTACACTTGTGCCATGAGTAATAATTGCTCCCTGGGACTGCCTAAAGCTGTTCCAGCAGCTCCTGGATCCTGCCTGAGAAAGGCAGGGGTGTCTGTGCACCCACTGAGTTTGGCCAGCCTTGGGATTGGGTGTTGATCAGAGAGTGACTCGGAGCCATGGCAGAACCAGACTCATAGCACGTGACCTGGGCAGTCATGCAGGACCCCAAGCTCAGAAGAGCCCGTGCTACGTTTTGTAGTTGCTGTTTTTTTGTTTTTTTTTTTTAATTAAGTAAACTCTACCCCCAATGTGGGGCTCGAACTCACAATCCTGAGATCAAGAGTCACATGCTCCACTGACTGAGCCAGCCAGGCACCCCATACTGGGTTTAATGCTTTAGTGTCTCCTGGAAATTCTTTTTTAAAAAGATTTTATTTATTTATTTGAGAGAGAGCGCGCGCACATGTGTGCAAGTGCAGGGGCGGGAGGGGCAGAGGGAGAGGGGGAAGCAGGCTCCCCATTGAGCAGGGAGCCTGATGCTGGGCGAGATCCCATCCTGGGATCAGGGACTTGAGGGAAAGGCAGAGCTTAACCCACTGAGCCACCCAGGCGCCCCCTTCTGGAAATTATTAATAACTTTTTAGCAGGAGACTGCATTTTTGTTTTACTTGGGGCCCTGCAATTATGCAGCTGGTTCTGGCTCCAGACACTCATTGACACAGTGCCCAAAGACCTGGGTCACCAGCATGGCCTTGAAGGAAAATGCTGACCAGGAGAGACACATGGTCGGTCCAGTTGCCACTCCTCCTGAGTCCCCAGTGGCCTGCTGCCCTCTCTGCTCCCACAGTGGCTCCCAGTACCCAGATCGTGGGGACGCCCCCTGGACAAGGGAATATGGGACTGGTGTTCCAGCAGGCCTTTAACCCTGGCCTAGGGCTCTGCAGCTTACTCCCTAGGAGCATGGCAGCTGCCACTCTGGGGACGGTCTAGCCCAAGATGTGCCCCCAGGCACAAGGCTGGACCTGTGGCTGTGCCCCATCCCACAGCTGACTGGACCAGGAACTGACTCAGACTGACCAGATTCTGACTGCTAGATGCCGCTCATTGGTCCGCACTTCCGAGGCCAGGCAGGACCAGGTAAATGCTGCTGACCGGGAGAGGCGGCGAGTCCCACACCTGCCAGTGATGAGTCCAAACGCCTGGAGGGCTGCCGCTCCTGACTCACCCTGCTCCTATCCCCACCCCCAATCTTCCAACCCAACTCCAAGATCTGCTCCCTAAGGCCCTGGGAGGTGTGCACTGGGGGGAGACCCTGGAGCCGTGCCCCACCCCCCCCACCCCCCCGCAGAGGAAACACTGGCCTGATGGCAAGAGACGGCTTTATTGAGAGGGAGACTACCAGTGGGGGGAAGGTGAGAGACTGGCGGGGAAGGGATAATGCAGTCCCGGGGCGGGGGCGGCCGGGGGTGGGTGCTGCCTGGAGCGTCACACGTCCAGGTCCGACTGGGAGATCCGCTTGTCATAAGTGCCCGTCTTGCGCTGCACGATGCCCGGGCTGAAGGTGGCCCCCAGTGGCCAGTGGCGGACTACGTGCCGGTACGACGTGGCCAGGTAGTCAAAGTAGTTAATGTTGAGCTTCCGGGCAATGTGACGGCCCAGGTATTCCGTCTGCTGTGGGAACAGGTGGCGGTCAGGAGACCGGCCAGTCCTGGCGCTCTCTCCACCAGCTGCCAGCGCTAAGGCTTGGGCTGCGGCCCGCGCAGTGTTCACGCTCTGCCTGAGAAATGGCCCCATCCTAAGCCCCTAAGCAGTGGCAGGCCTCCTGCAGAACCGAGCAGGGGAGTGGAGTGTGTCTGGGGCCGCAGGGTGGACTGCAGCAGGACCCACCTCGTAGCGTTCCGACAGCTGCACCAGCACCAGCGGCTCTAGCTTGTGGCCGCATAGAACCAACTGGAAGAAGCACCTTCCATAGGCTGGAGAGGGGAAAGCAGCTCAGCCTGGGGACTCTGGGGCCCGTGGGGGCTCTGGGCACCAGGGCTGGGGGGGCAGGGCATACGGCTGGCTTGCCCGCCACCCCCCTCCCACCCCCCTCCCACCCCCCATGTTCCCAAGCTGCTTCCTGGCACACCCTCCCCTGCTTCACCGTCAGAGCTGAGCGCCAGGCGCACGTAGACCAGGTGCATAGGGCCCTGACACACGGTGCGGCCCTGGATAGAGAAGTGGTATGTGCCACGCATGTGGTTCAGCACCAGGCGGCGCCGCGGCAAAGACGAAATCATGAGCCACAGGCCAACGCCCACGCCGCACGCGGGGAAGCCCCACGTCTCCTGCTTCAGCACCTGCGGGAGCCACGGGGACCTAAGCCGCCAAGGGCGTGGGGGTGGAGCACCGAGAGGGGGGTCCAGCCCCAAGAGGCCGGCCGTGGGGGGCGGGCCGCGGAGCTCAGACCTGGCTCCCAAGGCCGAAGCTGACGAGGAAGAGGCAGACGACGAAGAGCAGCGCCCCCTTCCACAGTGTGTCCAGGTAGTACTCGAGCACGAAGACTGCGGGCAGCGTGGCGGCGGCGCGTGAGCACAGCTGGTCCCTGCTCGCAGCCCGGGGTGGCAGGGCCAGCGCTCGGCCGGTCCCATGCACACGCACGCAGCGCGGGGGCACCGTCGGCGGCCCTGGCCCCGCCCCCACTCAAATCAGACCCCAGGCCCAGGCCCCTGCCCCACCCAAGCAGGATTTTACCCGGGGCGGGGGGTGTCAGACAGTCGGCCCCCACCCCGCCCCCGCCGCGTTCTGGTTCCGGGTCCACGCGCACCATTGGGCTGCTGTTGTGTGAACGGGTAGAAGCTGTTGTTCTTAAGGCGCTTGGCCAGGTGGCGCTCGGTGCAGAAGAGTCCTAGGGCCCAGAGCTGGAAGCGCTTGCCGCCGGAGGTCGTGGGCAGGCCGCTAATGCGGCCCTTGGGGGCCTGGGTTAGGCACAGACGGGTCAGCTGGGCTGCTGGAAGGTTGCCACCGCCCAGGGCTCACCGTCGCACTGATACCTGGGGGAAGAAAGCCTCCAGGGCTGCGGTCCAGGAAGGAGCCGCCTTCAGACAAAGGGCGGAGGAGACACACCAGGTGGTGGTCCAGGCTGGGCGAGGCCTGGGTTCTAGAAGTTCTGGGCAGCGGGTTCTAGAAGGGGCTGTTGTGTTGACTACTCCTTCTGCGGGGACTCCCCAGGCCTGGCCCTGAAGTGAGCACGCACTTCCCTGTGAGTCCCCACACCACCAGAGGCCCCCCGCATAGCCTGGTTCACAGTCCTCACGGGAAGGGAGGGTGGCAAGACATCCCAGGCCTAAGCTGGAGAGAAATCTGCAGGCAGGCTCCCCACACTGAACCCCATGGCTGAGCAGGCCTCCCCCGCCCCATCACTACTTTTGCCCAGGCAAAGCTTCAAACACAACCAACCACAGACAGCTCACTTCAGTGTCCCTGAGGGCAGGATACACACACTCAGTCCAGGATTCACGCCTAGCAGTGAGTGAGCAAGGCATGACCACAGGCAGCCTCAGGAACCCTGGGAGGCCACCCCCCCCCCACCCCACAAGCTCTCTGCCAGTTCTAGCCTTGAGTGGTTCCCTCAGGTACAACACCTGTTCTCTCATCCCCGCCTAAAGGACCACACAGAGTTCCTAAAAATGTTTTATTGTAACAAAATGCTCAAACATCCAAAACGCGAAAAGGGTGGAGGGTGCCGCTGGCTACCTGAGGGTCAGGGGTCTGGGACTGCCTAGCTGGAGGAGGGCAGGCTGGTGAGCAGCTGCTCCAGGCACCACTGGACTTCCTCCTGGCCTCGGTAGGCCCGCTTCAGGCCCCGAGGAAGGCAGCGGCAGGACTCCAGGTTGAGGTAGAGCAGGCCTGGGCAGCTGCTGATCACAGAGCTGTAAGGGCAGGGCAGGCCATGGGGACTCGAGCCACTGGCTCCCAGAAGACCCCGGCCCTGGCAGGGCTAGGCCAGTGTAAGGAGCCCTCTCTGCCCAGGTGCCGCGACTGGCTCTGCCACCCACAGCCACCGAGGCCCAAGCCCAGTACCCGTGGTGTCCCTAAGGGCCATCCTAAGCAGGGGCTTGGCCAATACGTGCTCCCCTTTTGGACACCCGAAGCTTGCAAGCCAGGCTTGTCGGGGAGGCAAGCCATACCGACTCCAAGGGACTGGGGAAGGGGATGCTGACCTGACCGTGCTTGGTGTGACCCGGGTGCCCCTGAGGTTGACAGAGCACAAGGCTGGGGGTGAGCCCCCAGGAGTGGCTGAGAAGGTAGCTAAGGCCTGCTCCAAGTCCTTCTCGCTGAAGCCCTGGCCACTCAAGTCCAGCTCCCGCAGAGTGTGGCGCCACTTCTGGGTCAACAGGTGGCTGCCCTCTTTGGCTAGAGTCAGCCGGTCAGACATGCCATAAAGACCCAGGTGAAGCTGCTCTAGCTCTGGAGGCGAAGAGTGGTCATGAGCTGTGCGGCGGGCAGGGGGTACCCACATCCCTCCCACCCAGCCACCATCCAGAGAAAGCTGACCCTGACACGGCAGATCATGTAGGCCAGCAGGTGTGATGCGGGCGCAGCCACGGAGATCCAGCAGGCGCAGATGAGGGGAGCCGTGGAGCAGGCGGCCCAGGGCCTCATTGCTGACAAAGCTGCAGGTGCAGCCAGCGAGGCAGAGCTCCTCAAGCCTGGGGAAGCCTGGGCCAGGAGTCACCACTCGCCCGGGAGGCTTGGGCAGCCACATCAGGTTCAGCAGCCGCAGCACCTGGAGCAAGGCCCAGGCTGCAGATGGGGAGGGAGGGTGGCAGGTGGGAGAGGCGGGGTGTCAGGTACCTGCAGCTGGGGGCAGCCCTTCTGCAGGGCCTCAACAGGCAGCTGGAGAGGAGTGCTGTTGCGATTGATGCCGGTGCTCACCTCCAGGACCTGGAGCTGGGGGCAACAGCTGCCCTGCAGAGGTGGAAGAGAACACAGGCTCAGTGGCCTGGCAGGCCCTGGCTCAGCATCTGGCTCTGCTTCTGCCTGTTACCAACCTACCAGCAGTGCCCCCAAGATGGCTGTTGTCTGGGAGCTGTAGGTCAGCCACAGTTTGCGCATTCGGGGCCCTGCCTCCTCCAAGAAGTTCACCACGGCTGTGGACTCCACCTGGGAACCCAGCACATGTGTACTGGTCACTTCGGCCCAGGCTTCTTCAGGACCCCTGGGGACACAGGGCTCACCATGGAGTGCTGTATATCCAGGCTGTGGAGCTGGGGGCAGGCTTTGGCTAGCATGACCAGAGTGTCAGGGGTCACACCATGGCAATCAGAAAGCTTGAGGAAGGTGAGTCGAGGACAGGACTCGCTGACCAGCTGTGGAAGACAGAGCACCAGCAGAGATTGGGTCTCTGTGGTCGGCAAAGGAAAGAAACCAGTGGCTGACACCGAACCCTCTCCTCTGCCTCAGCTAGGGCCTCCTTTCTGCCCCTGGCAGCCAACATGGGAGCTCCACTTCTGACACCTCCCTGCTGAAAGAAACAACAGGAAAGGAGAACCAGGCAGGCATCCCCATGGGGCAACACTGGGCTCCAGGTGCCTGACCCACTCCCTGGAAGTACTGGGCAACCCCAAAGTGTTGCCGCTGGTGTGCAGGGCAGCCTAGAGCTCTCACCTTCAACACGGGGTGTACCTGGGACTTCCAGTGGATGAGGGTCAGCCTCTGGAGCTGGGAGAACCTGGGCCGAGGGCAGAGGGAGAGCTGCATAGTGTCCCCTCGCTACCCCTCTGTGGGCGTCTCCCCCACCCATCACTTTGGTATAGGGAGACAGAAATGGGCCTGTGGCTTTCCACAAGCCACAGAAATGAAGTGAGGGGATAGAGAAAAGAGCGAATGTCTCACCGATTGGGCATGAGCCACTCCAGAGAGTCGAGAACCTTCTTCTCGGCCTTGGCTCCGCTCTTGGCGAGGCGGCCAGCCAGCGGGGGCGACAGGGTCACGGTGTGCCAGAGCGCAGGCTGGGAGGCGGCCTCGTGCCAGAGGCGGCACACGCGTGCAGCCCTGGGAAAAAAATCTCTGCTGAGGGGCCGGGCCTTCCGTGGCCGCTGCTGTGGGGTTTTCTAAGAGGAGAGACCTGTCCCCTTCGTTTTCACAACGCTGCGGCCACCTTAGCTCAAAGACAGGCCCTGGGGGCTCTAACTGGACGCCCTGAGAGACTGCGCTCTCTCGACTACGCTCTCTGCCCCCGCCTCAGCTGCCCGCTCGGTGGGCAAGAGGGCAGCCTGAGCCATGCTGCTGCGCTCGATGGGCCTGGGGTACCTGCCGAGGAAAGGCATGGGCCCATCGGCCGCCACCAGGAGCCCGAAAATCTGCAGCAGGATTTCCAGGGGGATGCGGTCGCCCCAGCCGGGGTCGGGCCCCTGCTGCGGCTCCGGAGCGGGCGCAGCTCTAGGCCTGGCCTTGGCGGCCGAGGCGCGGGACGCGGGGGGCAGCAGCCGCCGAGTGCGGCGGGCGGCACGCCTCTGCACGCGAGGGCGGGCAGGCCCCGGGCCCGGCAGCACCAGCAGCATGCTGTCGGACTGCAGCAGGTGGTACCCGGAGCCGCTCGGCGCCAGCTGGTCCCACCACCAGTCCTCGGCCGAGCGAGCCCGCGCCCCGGCCGGCAGCGCGCCCCGGACCCTGCGCCGGGCCCGCCGCGCCGCCCCGGGAGCCATAGCTCCCAACTAAACTGCACGGCCGCCGCGGTGCATCGGAAAAGGCGAAGCCTCCGAGCGGAGGCGGGACCTGAGCCCCGGGCCGACCCCCTCCGCGCAGGCTCAGCGCCCGGCTTCCGGGACGGGACTTCCGGCGATGGGCCATGCCGGGGCCTGGCGGTCCTGCGGCTTTCTCCAGTACCGGGGAGCTGGCGTTCTCGCTCGGGCGGAGCCGCGTTTCCCAGCCCCACCGGCTCTGGGCTGAAGCCGCGCTCCTGCGCGGGAGGCGGCGCCCTTGTAGTGTGTGGCGAGACGACTGGCTGTCGGGCGGGGAGCGCGCAGGTGCGGGGTCAGGAGGCGCAGGTCCCCCAGCGCACCCGGCAGCTCCTCGCCGGCCCCCCGACGCAGCGAGGGGCGGCGCCGGACCCATCCCTGCCCCCGGAGCCCGACTTCACTCCTGCTGTCCTGGGTCTCGCTGAAGCCTCGGACTCCCACTGGGAAGCAGAAGCAGCAGAGGTGTGCGAGGTGCCGTAGGGGTGCCCCTGTCCCGGAGTCCGTGTCCGTTTTGGGGTGAGGGTGGTGGCGCGGTCTCAGCAACTCAGACCCGAAGATGGAGTCCCTCTTCCCTCATTTTCCTCTGGGGTCGGGGCTCTTTGGGCCCGGCTTCGCGCTTCTCTGCCTGCAGGCCTAGCCGTGCTGTTTGGTATGTTTGGCCCCTGTCATCCCCATGCCCTACCCCCGGGCACCCTCCGGGTTCCCTGGTCTAGGCGGCCTGGCCCTCTTCTGATTCCGGTTCTGTGTCTTTGACTTGTGATCCCGCATCCCTGTCTGTTTCTTTCAAGATAGGAGAGGTCTTCAGTTCCCAGTAGAGCTGAAGCGTTTTCTTTGGATCTAGGTGGGGAAAGAGGAGCGGTCTGTGACCCTGACCTGTTCTGAAGGGCCCAGCCTTGGGCTGAATGGCAGCACCCCCACTGGGCCGTCTGGTGTTGACCCACCTGCTGGTGGCCCTCTTTGGCATGGGCTCCTGGGCTGCCATCAACGGGATCTGGGTGGAGCTGCCTGTGGTGGTAAAAGACCTTCCCGAGGGTGAGTGGGAGTGCGCAGGGAAGTGGGGTTCAGGCGGGCCAGGTAAGGCGGGTTGCAGCTGCTCATCGTCCCTCACACCCAGCCCTGACGTGGCCTTCTCCCTTCCCTGCAGGCTGGAGTCTCCCGTCATACCTCTCTGTGCTTGTGGCTGTGGGGAACCTGAGTCTATTGGCGGTGACCCTGTGGAGGCGGCTGGCTCCGGGCAAGAGCGAGCGGGGCCCCATCCAGGTGGTGCAGGCACTGAGCGTGGTGGGCACAGCCCTGCTGGCCCCACTGTGGCCCCATGTGGCCCCAGCCGCAGGGCAGCCCCACTCCGTGGCCTTCCTCGCGCTGGCCTTGGTGCTGGCCCTGGCCTGCTGTGCCTCCAACGTCACTTTCCTGCCCTACTTGAGCCACCTACCACCTCCCTTCTTGCGCTCCTTCTTCCTGGGTCAGGGCCTCAGTGCCCTGCTGCCCTGTGTGCTGGCCCTCGTGCAGGGCGTAGGCCACCTTGAATGTTTGCCCTCTTCCACCAATGGCA